AGGTAACCAGATGATTTCATAACGAATGGACAAATACTTAGGGGAAAGCGACCACGAACGTGCGAGAGAGATCCTGGACAGGGGACTTTGGGTGGAACCTCCGAGGGCCTTCTGGAGAGGAAAATCGCACAAGAGGTCGAAAGTTCACCGTCGATGTGTTCGTCAGGTATTTACACGTTCGTATGTCACTGCCAGTACTCTCCATCGATGGGGATATCAGGTTTCTCCACTGTGCCCTTTCTGCCGCAGCGAACAGAGTGGGTGCGTGGACACGATCTGGCACAGGCTTTTTGAATGCCCAGGCTTGCAGGAGAAAAGGTCTGAGTTTTTGCCTGAGGAGCTGGTCAAGCGAGGGCTGGAGGCTGGTGCTGAGGACCCCCTGTACAGCTACCTGTGGCACCCGAATCCTGCTGGCATCTCTCCGTGTGCTTGGGATGGGGAGGTGAAGTATGTGGGCTCTGACTACCAACCGTGCGACAAATTTTGTTTTTCTGGGAATGAGTATATCTATTCGGATGGCTCCTGCAAGGGGCCCACTCTTCCTGTGTTTCGGGCTGGGTGGGCGGTGGTGGCTGTCGACGACGAGGGAAGGTTTCTCAAGGCGGTGTTTGGGAATGTTCCTGGATTTCTCCCTCAGAGCGCTGTCTTTGGAGAAGTGTATGCGCTGTTGCAGGCGCTCGAGCATCTAGACAGCACCGTCGGCGATGTGCCAGAAGAGTATGTCATCCATGTCGACTGCAATTCTCTTTTCTCGGGCTCGGAGAACAGCTTCACGGCGACCTCTGGCTCGACTCCTTCGTCGGAGGTGTGGAGAGTGCTTTTTCAGAGGCGCTACCCAGAGTGGCGCCTGCAGAAGGTTCGTGCTCATCAGACGGATGAAAATCTCACAGGAGTGCCTCTTCGACACAAGCGAGGGAATGACAAAGCAGATGAATATGCCAAGGATGGGGTTCACTCACACCCCGACGTCCTCGACAATATTGACAAATATGAAATGGCGGAGGCAGACTGGAATGAGGTTGCGATGCCAGTAGCTAAGTTTCTGTCTGATCTGCCGACGGCCAAGGAGCTGTTCGGCAAGCTTAACAGAGAGCCGAGACCCCCGAAGCCGAGGCTTGTCTCCAGTGGCCGAGCTCACCGAGTGCTTTGGAACGGTTGCCGTTGGCGGTGTGTCCAGTGCGCCAGGTGCTTCTCCGAGAAGCGCGCGCCAGGTAGATGTGCCAGATTACCCCCAGCTCTCAAGGAGCTGGCCAATACCCAGTTAGATCGCCCACACAAGCTGTATGTTTGTAGAGTGATCGAAACCGATCTTCCGATTGTTTTTTGTATGGTTTGCGGGGCCTACACTTCAGGCCAACCACGAAAGTTGGGGGGCCCGTGTGATAAAGTGTATGTGGTGCAGCGTCGCCAGATTCTCAATGGCAGACTCCCGTGGCCGAAGAGTCACCATGTCTCCAACCCCTGGCCCCTCACCCCCGATTGCCCCAAAGGGGGAGAGTGGTGGAATCTGCTGTACTAATTCATCTTAGTTTTGGTCAGCCCTTTCGTTCCTGGAATGGTAGGGTGAGGGGAGAGCCACTGGAAAAGGCCGTCTTCGGTCATCTTGAGGTCATTTTGGGCCGCCGGGGGTGCATCTGGACAGTCTTGGAGGCATCTTGGGGCCATCTTCGCCGTCTTGGAGGCCATCTTTGCTGTCTTGGAGGGCATCTGGGCCGTCTTGGAGGCATCTTGAAGGCCATCTTGGGTAATCTTGACTGTCTTGGAGGCGATCGGACAATTTGTATTTGTTTGGCGGATTGTACGGCCTGTCGGGTGGCAGGCGGACCGAAACCGCAGGAGGAGTTCTTGTTAAAAGAACCTTTACTCCGACGGTAGGACCCCGCATGAGCATCCTCTTGGTTCATGTGGAATGCCCCTCACCGTCGTCCTCGTGATTGGTGAGGCGTCCTTGCTGTCTCCTCTGCGTCATTTTCCTTCTCGCCCTGGCGCGGGCTCTCCTCCCGCTCCCTACGTTGCCCCCTCCTCGCCCTCTTGTTTTTTTCACGCCCCGCCACCCCCTCCCCTTTCTATTGCATGAGCGCGCATGTCGATTCTCCTCGGCGCCGTCGCCGCCTCGGCCATCACGGGCGCATTCCCTAATGGCCACAACGCGCAACCGTTGGGACAACCCCGCGGGCCAGGCTGGCTGGACAACCCCGCGAACCGCTGGCGCGCGAGACCAAGCCGTTGGGACAACCAGCGGGTTTCGAGCGGGGCGCAGCCGTGCTCAGGCGGGAGGCAGCACGAAACCCAGCTCTGCCGCGAGCTGCTCCGCCTCTCCCCTGGAGTTGCCCGCTCTCTTGTCGAAGTCCGCAAGCGCGTTCCAAAGGGACGCCAGCGGCCCTCGTTCCAGGAGCTCTCGCGGCGGCGGCCGCAGGATCAGCGTGTTCCGCATGCGCGTGGCGCGGTAGAACATGACGCATAGATGCAGTCACCAGTGGTCGTCTAACGTGCCCGTGCGACCAGCGTCCTCGTCTCCCGCGCAGTCGATAGTGACGCCCTTGAGCAGCGTCTGGCCCTGCGGCAGCGTGGGGGCGAGGTGGGACACGCGCGTCATGGTGAACCCCGATCGGCGCTGCGTGCGGCCCCGAGCTCTGCCACGTGAGCTCCTGCTCGCTGGGCTTGAACATCAGCAAGTTCGGCGCCCGCTCCACGGCATGGCCGCCGTCGTCGGCGCCTTCGGCGCCCTGTCGCAGCAGTTCGGCGACCTCCTGGTCGATCGGAGACTCCTTGAAGCCGTGCGGGTGCAACCAGATTTCTTGAGCGGGGTCAAACAAACTGGCCAGGCGAACGCCCCTCGTGCTGCTGCTCGTCCTCGGGGTGGAACTCGAAGGACACGATGGCGGCCCTACGCAGCCGTGAGCCGCGCAGACGAGGCCCCCGCCTGAGAATTCCTCCATGTTCAAGCTTCAGGAGCCCAAGAGCGACGACAGTTGCAGGAATCGAATGGCCCGCTCGTGTTAGTGACGTGATCTGCGGGCCCCATAGGAAGGAAAAGGGTTCCCACTTGAGATTTCCCGGGCATTCGTGCACACACGAGGCTCTCGCCATATATTTCCTCCAGATTCAGGTTTAAAAAACCCAAAAGTAACGACAATTACATGCGTCGAGTGACCCGCTCGAATTATTAACCTGACTCGCGAACCCCATAGGGAGGGGGCTCCCGCCTGACATGTCCTTTCGATTCATTCACACAAAAAAAGGTTGTTGCTTGATGTGTCCCCCAGGGTCCAGCCCCACGAGCACAATAGTGACGACAGTTACAGGTCTCCGATAACCTGTTTGGATTAGTAGCATGATCTGCGGGCCCCCTAGGGAGGGGTTTCCCGCCTGAGACTTCCTCGCCATTCACCCATGGACGAGGTTCCCGCTTGATACTTCGTCCACATTCAGGCCTCAGGAGCCCAAGCGTGATGACACTTCAAAGATCCCGATGGCCCGTTCGGATTAATAGCGTAATCTGCGGGCCCTATAGGGAGGGGGTTGCCGCGTCAGCCTTCTTCGCGATTCACCCACAGACGAGGCTCCTGCCTGAGACATCCTCCGCACTCAAGCTTGCGGCGGCCAAGATTGACGATTGTTACCGGTTTCCGATGACCCGGTCGCGTTAGTAGCGTGCTCCGCGGGCCCCATCGGGAGGGGGTTCCCGCCTGAGACTTCTGCGCACTTCAATCACAGACGAGGCTCCCGCTTCAAATTGTTTCATGTTCGAGCTTCAGGAGTTCCAAAGTGACGATCGTTGCAGATTCCCGATGGCCCGTTCAGATTAGTAACATGGGCTGCGGGCCCCGTGGGGAGGGGGCTCCCGCCTGAGATTTCCTCGCAATTCATTCACAGACGAGGCTCCCGCTCGAGACGTCCTCAAGATGAATGTGTGCGCGTGTGAGTGATGACGATGGTGGTGGTGATGATGGTGATTGTCGTGATCTCACGGGATTCCGATGCATCTTGTGGGCCGCCGCCGTTCTGGTTGCTTAAGTCTTGAGGGATGTGGGAGAGGCTCACGAACCACGCCGTCACAGGGGTGGTCTCCTATCTCACGAGGTGCCCGCAGGTGCCATCTTGTCCCGCCTGTCCCGTGTGCTCGTTGGCGTGCGGGTCGCCAGCTCCTTGCCCAGGGTGCTCGCTGCAGTGCCCAGCGATCCCGCCGTGCGCGGAGGTCGCCCCGGCGGTGTGCCCCTCGCCGCCGCCCTGCCCGACGCCGGCGTGCCCGGCGTGTGGGGCCTGCCCCGCGCCAGAGGCCGCGCCCGCGCCCTCGGGGCCGGAGGCGGCGGCGCCTTCGGCGGCGGCCGAGCTGGCGAGCGACGTCGCCATCGACCTGCGCTCCCTGGCCGCGGGCCTGGTGGGCGGCGCGCTGGGTTTCGTGCTCGCCGCCGCGTGCGTCGGCTGTGTCGTGGTGCGGAGGGACGCTCGCCCGCGTGTTCGGCATCCTGCTGGCTGCATCAGTGATGGCGGCGGTGGCGACGAGTCGCTGGGTGTACGTCTTCTACGCAGGCGAGGTGGTGTGGCACCAGCACTTGAATCAGGGGCGGGTGGCATTGTCCGAGGCTGACCACGTCATCTACACGGCGGACGGCGATCTCTACATCGTCGCGTTGGCCAACAATGCTGATGTGCAGGCGGCGCGGCTCGGTGCCTTCAACCCGCCGCCTCCAGGGATCGCGGGCAACCAGGTGCATGGGTTCAGAGCCGAGCCGACGGATGCGGAGCTGGCCCAGCTCACCTTGGAGGCGGAGCAGATCGCCACCGCGGAGTGCCGCACCAGAGCTGCCGCCATCGGCAACCTCGGCCTGCTCACCAACCTGCCGCCACTGGTCGCGCCTGGAGGAGGAGGAGGAGGAGGGGTGGCCCCCATCGCGCCCGCGGGCCCTGCGCTGGGCTTGCTGCGCGGCGTTGCCGCGCTCCCCGCTGGTGCGCCTGGAGGTGACCCCGCTGGGGTGTGGAGGGCGGCCGCCTGCGAGGGCGGATATCGGATTGGCGATGAGGTGCCCGGGCACATGCCCACGGCAGCTCGAGTCCAGGATCGGGACATTCATGTGCTGCCAGACGGCCAGGGCCTGTTCGTGGAGCTGGTGCCGCCAGCCGCCCTCGAGACCTTCTTGCGGAAGGCGGTGGATGCGGATGCCAGGATCTTGCCCATTGTTCGAGATGCGCAGGGTCGCCGCGACGTCCCGTGGCACAAGATGGTAGAGATGACCCGCCAGGAGGACTTCGGCTCGGACTGGACGCTGCCGGGCCCGAGGACGGCGGCGCGTTGCATGAGCTACCTGCAGCGGGAGGGCCTCGGCATAGAGGGCCATCACGAGCACTTCAGGCAGATCTGCAGACTCGCCGCCACGGATTGGGGAGTTCAGGAACACTACCAGCTGTGCCAGCATATCAAGGCGGCAACCTGCCAGGATGAAGTTTAGGAGGCTCCAGACCATCGAGTTCGCCCACTGGGACAAGGCCAAAGACGCCGAGAGCAAAGGCGTTGGTGGCAAGATGAGTCTGGAGGAGCAGGCCGCCTTTTCTGGGGTCTCACGCTCGACTTCGTCGGTGGTGGTATCTCCAGAGTTGATCGAGCATGTCCGCGGCGACGTTGAGAAGGAAGCGAAGCTACACAAGAGTCTGCGCCTGGCCCGCGGGGAGCGGGAGTCCAGGCGCAAAAATGGCTGAGCATCAGAGCCGTGCTGGCTTCGGAGGGGGGGCCAGCACGAGTACTACACCCCTCCACATGGGCGACCCGAGTGGGCCCTTCTTCCCTCAGGACGTCCACGACACTGGCAGGCGTCGGCCCCGGGGCATCTTGCCACTGCCCTACCCCTCGTTCAGAGAGCCGCTGGATAAGGCTTCGGTCAAGGAGCTCGCCAGAGGTACGAGGCAAAGGATTGGGCGAAGGCTTGGTGTCTGCAACGATGTCTATGGATGCGTGGACGCCCTCAATTGGCTTCATGACCCGTCCCTCCGTTGTGGTCGTGACCGTTTTGCACGATACGTTGGGCCGCCACTCGCCCAGAGCCAGTGCTTGGCCCACATCTCGGAGTCGGTGCGCAACCTTGGTCCGCCGCCGTCGACTCTTTCTCCCGCAGAAGCGCTGGTGCAGAAGCGCGTGGCCGGGGGTGCCTACAGTGTCGAGCAGTCGCCCCTCGGGAGCTACGACCCCGCGCTCCTCTCCTTGCCTGACGTCAGCACCGCCCCTGTGCCGCTGGCCGACGTGCGGGGGGAGGGCGGGCAAGCCGAGGTCGAACAGTTCGTTCTGCAGAGCTTGTTGGATCCGAGCGAGGCCGAGGCCAGGCTGAGGCAGAGCTCTATACCTGCTCCCTACTCTGACCCTCTTCTACGTGATCAGCGGAGCTGGTCCAGTTTTGTTCAGTTGCTGTATGAGCGGCACCTAGTCGACTTCAGCTTGGAGGACGGCGTTCGAGCCGAGATGTTCTTTGTGAAAAAAAAAGGAGGCCGCCTTCGCATGGTGGCGGACTGCCGCCGCTCCAACGAGGTGTTCACCGAGCCCCTGGGCGCGCGGCTCGCGACGGGCGACGCCTTCGGTATGCTGGAGATGGCGGCGGACGACTCTCTCCTGACAGTGGAGGGTGCCGACCTGAAGGGCGCCTTCTACCACCTTGAGCTCCCCGAGCAGCTCCGTCCGTGTTTCAGCCTGCGACCCGTGCGCGCTGGCGCCCTGGGCATCAAGGAGGTCGGCGGTGTCGCCGTCGGGGCCTCCACCAAGCTCTACCCGCGCCTCAGGGTCGCGCCCATGGGTTGGTCCTGGGCAATGTGGTGGTGTCAGTCGGTGATGGAGCGAGTGGCAGAAGCAGCAGGCTGCGGTGATGACGCACGACTTCGAGATGGCAGACCTGCTCCCTCTTTGGACCCATCGTGTCACCTTGAGTACGTCGACAACTTCGTGAGCATTGGCTACGGCGCGGAGGCGGTTCGGTCCGCTGTGACTCGTGTCATGACGGAGCTCAAGCGCCGAGGTCTGGTGGTGACCAGGGGGGGGCACCTCGGTGACAGCGAGGGCGAGTTTGCAGTGCTGGGTTGGTCCATCACTGCGGCTGGGCGTCTCTCGGCGTCTGCTTCGGGATTGTGGAGGGCGCGGCTAGCGGTGCGTGGTCTTCTGCGGCGTGGCCGGGCCAGTGGTCGCGATCTCGAGCGCGTGCTGGGCCACATCATCTTCGTCGCTCTCGCTCGGCGTGAGGGCTTGAGCATCTTCGAGGCGAGTTTCCGCTTTGTCCAGAAGTGCTGCCACCAGCAGGTGCCGCTCTGGTCTCAGGTCAGGCAGGAGCTCATGGCCTGGGATGGCGTTGCTCCTTTGCTATGGCGCGATCTCCGTGCTCAGTGGTCGCGCTCCGTCGGCTGCGTAGACGCCTCCCCTTGGGGGTTGGGCGCCTGCGAGGCTGATTGGGATGTCGGCGCTGTTCGGGAGGTTGGTCGTCATAGCGAGCGGTGGCGCTATGGCAGGGCTGAGCGCTTGCCTCCTCGTCGCCGGGCCCTTGCCGCTGAATGTGCCGCTGACGGGGTCGCAGCCTGTGACCTAGGGGTCGTAGCGGCCCAGCTCGATCCTGGCTGTCCGGCGGAGGACAGCCAGCCCGTCGGCCCGCCTGTGGAGCGCGACCTGCTCGCTTTCCCCGAGGTCTCGAGGAAATGCTTGGACAAGTCGTTGTGGCGTGCCACGGGACGTCGCAAGTGGGATCGCCGTGAGGGGATGCCTGTTCTCGAAGCTCGGGCGGCCCTGTACCATGTTCGGCATGCTTTACGGGCCGTTCGGAACCATGGGAAGAGGATGCTTCTCCTGAGAGATTATCTCGCGTCTGTCTCGGCTGCCTCTCGGACGCGGGCCCACAGCCACACCATGTTGGGGATCATGCGCCGCATTGGGGCTCTGTCTCTTGCGTCTGGGAGCTCCTTTTGTATTCGGTGGCTACCGTCCGAGTATAACGTCGCGGATGGCCCCTCTAGAGGCCGAGGAGAACCCAGTCTCCCTTCTGCTGTCATTCTAAAGGAGGTCCTCGGCAGGACCCCGAAGTACAAGGTCGGCCTGGACCCCAAAGAGCACGACCCTCCTCAGGGGCCCCATCAAGGTAGGCTACTTCGTGACCTAGGTGAGGAAGAAGGAGAGCCCCATGGGGAGCCCGATCAAGGACAGCACGGACCAGCACCACACGGTTTTCAAGGGTGGGGTCAGCACCAGCACACGCACGAGGAGGTGGGCGAGAAGGTGGTAGAGGAGGAGGAGCGCGGGCACGATGAGGACCTCGGAGTGGCCTCGCTGGAGGACGTCTTGGGTACTCATGGTCCGCTTCGCTCTGAGCCGCTGACTGGCCCAAGACCTCTACGTATTCTTCCATATGTTGTCGGCTCTCTGCCTCGTCGCCCTCGTCAGCACTCTTCCTGCCATGTCCGCGGGGCTGCTGCAGGGGGACGCCCGCGAGCGACCAGCCGCGGCCGCGAGCTCGCCGCCGGCGGGGGCTTCCCTGGTCCGTGGGGTGCGCAAGGCTGGCTTGCAGTCGCCGAAGCTGCCAGTGCCCCAGGCGTCGCCCGCGAGCCGCCAGGGCTCGAGCGGTGGTCCCACGCCGCAGCAGCGGGCTCGGCTGATTCAGCCGCCAGCGGGCATGCCAGTGCTCAACGCAGCATCCGTGCGCACGGCGTCGGGGCGTCAGGCTTACCTCTCGATGCTGGTGGGTTTCGACAACTGGACGAGACAGCATCGACGGGCCACGCAGGAGCCTGCTCAGATGGACCGAGCGGTCCGCGACTACATCAGCCATCTCTTCGAGCTGGGGTATCACCAGACCTACGCCAACCGCGTGATAGCGGCGGTGGCGTGGCGCGATCCGCGCTATGCCAGAACGGGCCAGTTCGAGCTGCCGCTGTCCAAGCAAGCCGCCAAGGGGTGGCGCGACCTGGCCCCAGCTCGCAGCCGAATGGCCCTTCCGTACGAGGTCGTCGCCATGGTGGTCAACTACGTGTCCCATCAGCGCGGCACCCCGGAGGCGCTCGCGATCTGGCTCCTCTTCGAGATCTACGGCCGCCCAGGCGAGATCCACGGGCTTCGCCTGCAGGATGCGGTGCCGCCGGCGCCTTCCGCGTCAGGGGCTCACCGCTACACCTCGGTGACGCTCCACGCGCAGGAGATAGGCGACGTCTCGAAGACGGGGGAGCTCGACGCGGCGATCCGTCTCGACCTCGAGCGCCAGGCAGGCCTGGCTGCGGGACTGCTGGCGATGGCCGCCGCGCGGCGCCGCGCGGGAGCGCCGCCCTGGGCGCCGCTGTTTGCAGTCGACCAGCGCAGTGTGGCCAACGCATGGCGCGGGGCTGTCACCGCCCTCGGCCTCCGGAAGCTGGGCGCCTGCCACGTCTACCAGCTCCGCCACTCAGGCCCAAGCCACGACTACGCAGCAGGGCTGCGCGACCTGGAGCAGATCAGGCGGCGCGGGCGCTGGAAGAGCTGGAGCTCAGTCCGCAGGTGCGAAAAAGGAGGCCGCCTGACCGAGCAGCTGCACAAATTTGGAGGGCCGCAGCGAGAGCACGCGGAGGCCTGCGCGCGCTTGCTGAGCCGTGCGTCGCGTGGCCTGCCCTCAGCGTTGGTGCCAGTTTGCCCGACCCGCCAGTGATCTTAGAGTTGTTCTCTGGCTCAGCAGGATTCTCGAAGGCTGTCGCTCAGCTGGGCATGCCAGTTTTGATGTGGGACACGACTTTAGGCGAGAGATACGATCTCGCCCGACCGTGTAATCGCTCGCTGCTTTTGTCATGGATCCGTGCTGGTCGAATCAGGGGTTGGCATGCGGGTGTACCTTGCAACGCGCTGACCAGGTGCCGCGATCATGGGGTCGGGGCGCCGCCTGTACGATCCGATCTCCACCTCTTTGGCCTCCCGAACCTCCCTCCTCATTTGCAAGCGATTGTCGATGTATCCAACATCCTCAACAGGTTTGTTGCCAATCTCGCTGGTGTTTCACTTTCGTTACGTGTGCCCTGGAGTATCGAGAACCCTAAGACTTCTCGGCTGTGGCTCTTCCCGCGCTACAAGCCCAAATGCGACGCCGCGCTGTGTCTTTCCACGTCACCTCTATGTGCCAGTGGGGTGCGGCTTGGAAAAAGGATACTGGCCTTCTCCTCGGGGACCTTGACCCGGGGCCGTTCCGTGAGTCGCGGTGCATAGGATCCAGGCGTGGCATTTGCTCTCCTACGGGTCGTGCTCACGAACAGCTGCAAGGTTTTTGGCCCTCAGGAGGTTTCAAGGCCAAGAGAGGGGCAGAGTGCCCTCGAACATGTTGCGTCGCCCTCGCTCGTCTCTTTCACAATGCCGAGGTCAGAGCTTCCGCAGAGGTCATACAGCGATCGTGTGGTTTGTGAGTCTCTTTTCTTCGGCGATGCCAGCTTGCTCTGCAAACTCGGGGTGTTATGTTCTGGGGTTGAGCTCTCACCCCAGGGCTTGAGCTTGCCTGTGCCTCGCGCGGCTGTCTCGACGGCTGGATTCCGCCCGTGCTCAGTCTCTTGCAGTTGCTGGCGAAACAAGAGCCCAAAGGAATTGTCGTGATCTCACGGGTTTCCGATGTATCTTGTGGGCCGCCGCCGTTCTGGTTGCTCAAGTCTTCCGCCTCCTCCTCTCCTCCACCGCTTTCTTTTCACTCAGGTGTTATGTTCTGGGGTTGAGCTCTCACCCCAGGACTTGAGCTTGCCTGTGCCTCGCGCGGCGGTCTCGACGGCTGGATTCCGCCCGTGCTCAGTCTCTTGCAGTTGTTGGCAGAAACAAGAGCCCAAAGGATTGTTGTGATCTCACGGGTTTCCGATGTATCTTGTGGGCCGCCGCCGTTCTGGTTGCTCAAGTCTTCCGCCTCCTCCTCTCCTCGACCGCTTTCTTTTCACTCAGGTGTTATGTTCTGGGGTTGAGCTCTCACCCCAGGACTTGAGCTTGCCTGTGCCTCGCGCGGCGGTTTCGACGGCTGGATTCCGCCCGTGCTCAGTCTCTTGCAGTTGCTGGCAGAAACAAGAGCCCAAAGGATGGCAATGATGGTGATGGTGACTCGGGCGTAATTCGCGATGACGATGATGATTGCAATGGGTGGCGGGATGGGGATGGGGATGGGGATGGGGATGGATACGTACGTGATCAACGAATCAGAGTGATCGGGTGATTTTGATAACGAGGGAGTGAGTGATGAGTGCTTCTGGGCGAGTAAGTGTGTGAGACTGTGAGTGGGTGAGTGAGTGAGCAACTGACTGAGTGAGTGTGTAATTCATGATGTTGGTGCGGTTATGCTGATGCTGCTGCTGCTGACGATGATGATGATGATGATGATGATGATGATGATGATGATGATGGCGTCAGTGTAAGAGTGAGTGAGTGCCACAGAGAGGGGGTGAAGGTTTCCTGCGCGGGGGGGGGAGAGAAAGCAAGAAACCCATTTTGAATGTGGGGAGCAACCAAAAACCGCAAGACAATCAGCACTCCAGGCACCCGTTTTACAAGGCCACAGGGGGGCGGCGAATCGAAGACGCCTACGGCGAATCACCGCCGCCCCCTGCCCCTTTGGAAGCGCCTCTGTGGCCGACAGCTGGGCCAGAGCTTGGCCAAGCTATCGGGCCAGTTGTTCCCCGAGTCAGGTTGGAAAGACTTCGGGGAACGCATGGGGAGCAAGAAGAGGAGGGGGAGGATGAGGAACCACGAGGAGGAGGAGGAGGAGGAGGAGGAGGAGGAGGAGGAGGAACAGGAAGGAGGATGAGGAGGAGGAGGCCTCTTGGGCGCCTCTTGGGGCACTCTTGGGGCCTCCTGGAGGCTCCCCGGGGGCCTCTTGTCGGGTTTTATGTTGGCTTTGGGGGGCTTTTTGGGTGGCTCTTTGGCTGTGTTAGGGCGTTCCTTTGGGGCCTGTTTGGGTCGTTTTGGGGCCCTCTTGGGGCATATCAGGGGCCGTATTGGAGGCCATCTTGGGCGTATTGGAGGCCCCTTGGGCCGTTTTGGGCCCATCTTGGGTCCGTCTTGGGGGCTTCTTGCGCCGTCATGGGGCCATCTCGGAGGCCTCTTGGGCGATCTTGGGGGCCTCTTGCGCCGTCTTGAGCAGTCGGAATGCCGAGAAGAAGCAAATGCCAACATTCTTCAAACATTTGAGGACAATCAATGAATTTGGCCTCTTCGTGCCCTCCTGGAAGACCTCCTGGACGCCTTCTGGGCCGTCTTGCAGGCCTCTTGGGCCGTCTTGGGCCATATTGAGGCCATGTCAGGCCGTCTTGAGTGCATCTTGGGCCGTCTTGGAGGCATCTTGGGGCCATCTTAGCCGTCTTGGAGGCCATGTTGGTCGTCTTGGAGGCCTCTTGGGACCCCTTGGGGTTGTCTTGGGGGCCTCTTGGGGTTTTCATGGGGGCATCTTGGACGCATCGTGGGCGATCTTGGGGGCCTCTTGGGCCGTCTTGGGCCATCTTGAGGCCATCTCAGGCCGTCTTGAGTGCATCTTGGGCCGTCTCGGAGGCATCTTGGGGCCATCTTAGCCGTCTTGGAGGCCATGCTGGCCGTCTTGGAGGCCTCTTGGGCCCTCTTGGGGCCATCTTGGGGGCCTCTTGGGCTGCATGGAGCCATCTTCGAGGCTTCGTGGGCGATCTTGGGGGCCTCTTGGGCCGTCTTGGGCCTCTTAGGCCGTCTTGAGTGCATCTTGGGCCGTCTTGGAGGCATTTTGGGGGCATCTTAGCCGTCTTGGAGGCCATGCTGGCCGTCTTGGAGGCCTCTTGGGCCCTCTTGGGGCCGTCTTGGGGGCCTCTTGGGGTTTTCATGGGGGCATCTTGGAGGCCTCGTGGGCGATCTTGGGGGCCTCTTGGGCCGTCTCGGGCCATCTTGAGGCCATCTTAGGCCGTCTTGCGTGCATGTTGGGCCGTCCTGGAGGCATCTTGGGGCCATCTTAGCCGTCTTGGAGGCCATGTTGGCCGTCTTGGAGGCCTCTTGGGCCCCCTTGGGGCTGTCTTGGGGGCCTCTTGGGCAGTCTTAGGCCATCTTCGAGGCCTCGTGGGCGATCTGGGGGGCCTCTTGGGCCGTCTTGAGCCGTCGGAATGCCGAAAAGAAGCAAATGCCAAAATCCTTCAACAACGTTGGAAAATCAATGGTTTTGGCCTCCTCGGGCCCTCCTGGGGGACCTCTTGGAGGCCTCTTGGGCCGTCTTGGAGGCCTCTTGGGGGCCTCTTGGGCAGTCTTAGGCCATCTGGAGGCCATCTCAGGCCGTCTTGGGTGCATCTTGGGCCGTGTTGGAGGCATCTTGGGGCCATCTTAGCCGTCTTCGAGGCATCTTGGGCGTCGTGGAGGCCTCTTGGGCCGTCTTGGGGCCCTCTTGGGGGCATCTTGGGGGCCTCTTGGGCCGTCATGAGGCCATCTTGGAGACCTCTGGGGCGATCTTGGAGGCCTCTTGGGCGATTCATTGTCTGTGCCGGCGACGGTGCGTCGAAGCTTGCCCCAGCGCGGAGCAGGGAGTCCCTAGCAGCGCTATGGGGCGGTGGCCGCCGTTAGGCTTGCCTAGCCTGAACAGGCGGTTGGCCAGCATGCCTGTCGGCTAAGCAACACAGTCACGGGCGCTATCCGCCGCCAATACCCGAGTTGCCCCCCAGAAAAAACAGGTCGCCCAGGGAGGCAAAGCTGGGGATGCACATTCAGGGGGCGATTCGGACGCGCCACAATCGATGATGGACGCTCCCCCATCGCATTTTCCAGAGTTGGGCTCAAGATGTCAGGTCCAGTCGAACACCCCCCAGAGTCGGGGATTGGGGTCGCCATGCCCCTCGCTAGACAACTCTCGCACCTGGGAAACATCGCGGCCAAAGCTGCCAGCGTCTCGTCTGAGAGATTATGCAGGGAACGCGGGTGCATTCTTCAACACCCAGCGGCTGCACGAGCGGGAAGTTTGGTGATCACCACCCTCAGTGCAGCAACAGTGATGCTCGGCGAATCAGGCCACTCGGAGCAGTCAGGCGGCAACACTGGAGCCTGGCACCCGTGGGCGGTCCAACTATGGGCCCCTTCCTCGCAGGTTTTGTCGGCAAGCGTGCTTGGCTGGGTTTTATCGGTGGCCTCGAGCACCTCCTGGAGACCTTTAGCTCTAGCGAAGGAGAGGGCTCAACGGGCTCCTCCAGGCGGTCTCCTTAGTCAAGGCCTTCCGGGAGGCAATGTTCGGGGCAAGAATTTGGTCTTGTCGGAGTTCAAGTTGATCGAGAATTCGTTGCACAAGGTCATCGGTCCCTGGGTCGCACAAGACCTCAACGCCCAAGAGAAAATAACCACGCATTAAATAATAAAGTTGATTCAAAAATATCTCATGTCTCCGAATGTTCGCGAGGGAGGCGCTAGCCTCATACAATAGCCTGGCGACCCTCATCAGCCTCCTGTGCTGCTCGCTGCTCTCGCTCAGCTTGGAGATGTACGTGACCAGGGCTACGGTCACCCTACTAATCTGTCTCGCCCATCTCCCTGCCGCACACCATGTCGCGTACTCCAGATCTGCCCTGGGTAGTCGCGGTTGAGGTGCTGTTCGCACTTTCTGCTACATCACCTCGTGCTGCTCAGCTCTGCCAACATATCCAAGGCGCTTCGTGCCCACCAAATCGTGTCGATCGAGCAGCTCGTCCTCTATGCCTACCGCCAGCGTGTCCCAGCAGCTCGCCAATGCCTCATCGCTGACCGCTTTACCAACCGCCGCATGAAGCTGTTGCCATTGCTTCGGGTAATTTCCTGGCGCAACCCACTGGAGCCAAAGCTGAGATGGACTTGGGCTGCTTCTCCACTCTTGACAATCTATACGTGCAGGGTCCAAGCACTTCAAGGAGCACGTTTCGATTTGGCGATATGTTAGCTAGCATGTGCACATTCTGAGGATTAGTTCTGATGGCCATGTTCGTGCACACAATGAAGACATCGAGCACTGTACCTGGCAACGAGTGCGTGCCAGTCAGGATCGAGCTGTCCACCACCACCAACCCGTTGAGCGCAGCCGCCCAAGACTGTAGCATGCCTGGCGTCAGGTTGGAATTTCCGTCAGCAGCCCAATCGTATTCCGAAGCTTGCGCAGTAAGTGTAGCTGGCGACGCCCGTCAAAAGACTTATATTAGTTGGGCCAAGGTCTTCGCCGACCCAACATCACATTGAAGCAACAATGATGCCCCTCTTGGAGTCTGTGTGAACGTGTCCTGCGACGGCCCTCGCTGGAAAACAAATGCCCCACCATGTAGCAGCGGCGGGCTCATGATCTGGATCGGAGTTGGACGCGCTACGTCAGCACCATCACTGCATCTCCGTCCCCCCCAGCGATGCGTGCGTCCGCCGCCGCAGTCCAGATACCGTAATATCCTGCAGCATGCAATCTATTCTATGAAGAATTGATCTTACCTGGCAGCAACCAATTCTGCCCCTCGCAGCATATGATGTGACTCCCCTCTCACCCGGCACAGGCTCTTCTGATTCCACCCCTGAAAGATGCCCGTGCGAAGTAAGACATTGTATCGATTGGTTTCATCGGCATGACTTAGCACTAAGTAATTGCAACTGCGATCATAATGCGAGGCCCATGCTGCCGAGGTGCGCTGCCTCTCCGCGGAATTAGCCAAGCTGTTGCCTGCTCGCTTGATTGCCTTACGCAACTCATCAGCATCACCTGAGGCCTGCATGGTGGCTGACTGCTGGAATGCCCTGAGAGTCTCTGCGCCATGGCGTTCGGGATCTCTTGGATCGGGCATGGTGCCGCAGCGGGGGCTGCACTAGCGGCGGGCGCGGGGCCACCCTAGCCGTGGTTGTTGCTGGCGGCGGCTCCACCAGCCGCCTTTGGTTGCGCCTGGCTGTGGGCCGCCGCAGCCGCCTCGTGCAGGCGTGCCGCGAGGTCGTCGGATCCACCGAACGTCGCTAGGAGCTCTCCGAGCTTCTCAACCGTGAACGCGCCGACCACTGGCAACACCTGGGCGATCGACGGTTTGGTTGCACTGGGCGCGAGGGGTTGCGTCACCTGCGCGACGAGTTGGCGCCTACCCTCCTCCAGCTCCAGCAGTTCCTTGCCGAACCGCTCCAGCTGCTCGTTCGCCTCCACTGCTGCCGTTTTCTTTTTCGACGATCTTGGCGCGCAGCATGGTGGCCAGAGTTGCGCCTGCTTATCCTTACGCTTCTCCAACCTTGCGCGTTAGAGTAACATCTCCTTGAGCCTGGTTTCCAGACTCTTTCCAGCAACGAGATGTTTGCGCCGCTCTGCGCCCTGCTGACTCTGTTGCCTCGTGAGCTTCGCCAGTTCCGCACGTAGCTTCTTGACCTCTTTCGTCTCCTGCTGCGTTCCGCCTCCACCCGTTCCGAGGCGATTCCCGTGCTGGTGGGCGTGCTTCGAATGGTCGAGGGAAAGATCACGCAAGCCGCCAAGCAGAGATTGTGGTAGTCCAAGTCCGCTCTGTTCCACCAGCGATCTCCCGTGGACGTCGACCAGCAGTACTTGCAGCAAGATGGTTTAGCCTACGCAGCCCTTCGTCGTTTGTGCCCGTTTTGATAGCCGACTCTTGCCTGGCAGGCGGCCCCATGAGCTTGCCGTTGATGGTGAGGGCGCCGTCCAGGAACGGATATGAATTGACTGAGTGTGCAGGCGAATCCTGCCAAATGTTGTTAAAGTGTCGGAGCCGCGAACTCCCCACGCCAGAATGCTTCTGTCCTCAGCCTCACGCTACGGACTTGAGCCCAAATGGCTACGGTCGAGAAGGAGGGAGGAATGAGAGGAAGGAGCAATGAGAGGGAGGAGGAAGAGGAGCAGGAGAAGTATGAGGACGGGCCCGATCGGGTCCGACGAGTAGCTGAGAGAATGATTTTGAGCAAGGAGCAGCGGGCGCAGGCATTATCATCATTCCCCTGCTCATTCTTTTCTCTTCTCCGCCGGCGATCGTGAGAAGATACGAGAGGAGTGCGTACGACGTGAGTGGAGGGCAGCGGGAGAGGAAGATAGCTCCGCTGGCACATGGAACCAGATGCTGTCCTGCCAGGAGGCGTTCCATAGAAACTAGTCGGAGAGAGGTGGCTCCGTCTATGCGAATTCATTGTAAGTCCTTCAAGTGTGAGTTTGTGTTCGCGTAGTTCCGTAGTTTTGTTCTGCGTGTGTGTTGCATCTTTTTCCTTTCAGTGTTTTGACTCCCGCGATGCGTTGCGTTCTTTTCTTTCCGGCCATGGGGTTGAGAGTGGCTGGCCAGGTGGGCCTGCGGCGTCTTGGGGACCCGTGGGAGGGGGGCGGCACAGCGGGCCGATGGGGGGGGAGCGGCCCGGGGCCAGGACCCCTAACAGTGGCTTCTGGTGTGCGCTCGCTGCGGGGCTCTGTCTCGGTGTCGCGCGCGCGCGTTGGCCAGAGGACATCAAGCTGGAGTCCGTGGTCACCGGCGCGACCGGGTCGGGGAGCTGGGGAGGTGCACGCCGCGTCCAGGAATGACCGAGGAGAGACGGAGGGGGAGGAGGAAGGAGGATGATGAGGAGTCGGGGTATGGAGAACACGAGGAATGGATGGGAGACGAGGAGGAAGAGGGGGAGGAGGAGAGGGGTGATTTGGACGATGAGTAGCAGTGAGTAGTTGGCCGAGACGGAGGAGAATTAATGGAAGCTGGAAAGCAACCAAGTCGGAGGACGAGGAGAACGAGGCCGAGCACGGGGAGAATAATTGGGACAAAGAGGATCCGATGCGGAAGCGGAGAAGGAGGAGGAGAGCGTGTGTTTGGGTTTGGGTAGACGAAGCGGAAGATGAGCAGGAGGAGGAGGAGGAGTGACGTGGCGAAAAAGGCGGCTCAAAATTTGTATGCGAGGGAATGCGCGCCTGCACGCAAGTATAGGGGATGACGCCAGATTGTGTTTCTACAGGCTGCATCGGCGCGTATCGTTTTTGCAGACATGTCCCCAGCAGATGATCCGAGTATGCGACAGCGGCGTTTCAGACTTGGCGGGCTGGGCCAAAGATCTGCCCATCTTCAAGTGCTGGCGCAAGGGCGGGAAGAGAACCCTCCTTCGCGCAGCGCGGAAGCCAAAGGCAGAGGATCGTGATTTAGCCGGTCATTTGAAATAGATAGCGGTTGGTAGCCTCCCCTTAGTCCTCGACAGTTCCATTGGGTTTTATGATTAATTATGGCAGGCAGCGCAATAATACATGCATGCGTGCAGAGAAGGGAGGACATGTACAGCAGGGCACTTGTTATGGGGAGAGGGGGAAACAGAGAAAGACAGTCAGCGCGAGGGACGGAACAAGCTGATCCCTATGTGCATTTGTAAACATATTGTAATGGCTTCCAGCCAGTGCCGCCGATCTGGGTGGCTTTTGGCGGGCGGGTGATTATGTTGTTTTGTCTGGCTTGCATTTCGCAATGCGAAAGCGTGAACGGGTCTTCTTTGTCTTTGTGTATGCTTTTGTGTCTCATGAACCGTTTCCCGCTGTCTTTGCTGGTTTCCTTATTCTCCTTTCTCATCTTCCTTTTCCGGTTGATTTGTTCACGCCTCGCGGATCCCCACCAGCTCATTCTAAAACAGCCTGCTTGAACACAGGAGGACGAAGGGAACGACGATTAAGAAGGAGAGCGCGAATACGACCACGAGGCAGTTTTCGGGCCTCTGGGAGGCAGTTTTTGGGCCTCTTGGGGGCTGTTTGCGGCCTCGTGGGGCCTCTTTTGGGCCTCTTAACGGCCTCTTAGGGCGTCTTGGGGCCTCTTGGGGGCATCTTTGGGGATTATTGGGGCCTCTTGGGAGCCTCTTGGGGCGGATTTTTAGTTTTTCGCTTCTTTTTGGGGTCCTCTTGGGCCAGTCTTGGGAGCCTCGTAGGCCGTCTTGGGCGGCTCTTGGGCCGTCTTGGGGCCCTCTTGGGCCGTTTTGGGGCCGTCTAGGGAGTCTATTGTGCCGTCTTGGAGTGGTCGTCGGGGCCTGTTGGGCCGTGGTAGAGCGTCGGAAAGTCGAACAAAGCGACATCCTCAAAAATGTAGGAAAAAACGATGAGAATCAACGATGGTTGCCTCTTGGGGGCCTCGTGGAATGCCTGTTGGAGGCCCCTTGGGACGTCTTGTAGGTCTCTTGGGCCGTCTTGGGGCCATCTTGGGCGTCTTCGGGTGATCTTTGGGTGTCTCGGGGCTCTCTTGGACCGTCTCCAGGGGACTCTGCGGCCGCGACCACTCTTTCGACGCATCGTCAAGACTGTAGTCTTCTGAAAATCCAGCCCCCGGAAAGCGACAGAAAACTCGTCCCCCCCTCCCCCTCTTCCCCGGCAGAGCCACCCGGGCAACCCCCCCCCCAGAGGCTAAAGCTCAGCCTCAGCCTCGAGACAGTAGCTGAGGCTCTTTCAAACTCAAACGCCAGATCGGCGGATTTATACGCCGGATCGAGCGCATCCCGCAGGCCCCTGGCGCTTTTTGGGAGCCTGCGCCCGCCGACGACCCGCTTGAATGCGAGATTGTGGACGCCACCTTCGTTGACGACGAGGTCGTTATCCTCCTGTCCGAGTCTCCTCGGGTTCTGGCGCGTGGTATCGACGTCTTGCTCGAGATCCTGACAGGCACTTCCGGCGACTTCCACTTGGAGATCAATTGGAGCAAGGGCAAGACCGAGGGCCTAATTGCTCTCCGGGGCAAGCGCTCGGTGGACGTTCGGGAGAAATGGCGGCAAGCCGACGGCAGCCTGGCCATTCCGGTCCCGAATTCTGGGCACTCCCTTCACGTGCGCGAGGAGTACAAGCATTTTGGCACGTGGGTCTCTGCGTACGGAATGTCGTTTCGCAATGCCGCTCACAGGGCGCAGTCTGCGATGACGGCGTACGCGCCCATCTCCCGGAAGGTCTTCGGCTCGCCGCTGATGAACGACAAGTATAAGATCCCGTTCTTGCGTAGCCTCGTCCTCTCCCGCCTCACCTTCAACCTCCATGTCTGCACCTTGCCCATCAAGACGCTTCGCCGCTTGTCTGGGGTATACATGAGAGTGCTTCGGCGGATTGCAGGAGACCCTCGTTTCTCCATGGTCGTGGCGCTGACTGACCGGGAGGTCCGGGAGAAGCTCGGGGAGCCCTCGCTCGATTGCATTTTGATGGTGGCGCGCTTGCGGTATTTTGGCAGGCTGGTCCGGAAACGGCCGGCCGCCCTTTTAGCTTTACTGCAGGCCGGCGTTGGGGAGCCAGAGCTACCGTGGTTAGCGACGATTCGGGTCGATGTCGAGCGGGTGCGCTCTCTTGGCCTGGTGCATGATTTGCCCTCCTTGCGGGAAGGCTCACAGGCATGGCTTGGTCTGTTGCGGGACGCCACCAAGTGGGCCCAGGTCCTGGACGATATATGTTTCCATGAGTCTTGCTTGGACTGGGCCGCTCTACCGGGACACCCGGAGCACAGTGCCGGGCGCGGATTGGGCCACCAGGTCCAGTCTGCCCAGCGCGTTTTCCTTCGGATCGAGCCTTGGCCAGCCACTGTCGGGCCAAGCATGGGCACCGATTGGCCGTCAAGCAACATATCGACGGTTCTGGCGTGTGCCCTGCGTGCGGCACCAGTTTTCACACGCGATTGCGGTGCATCGCGCATTCGTCCGTCAAGCGGCGCCCCACGTGCACGGCATGGGTGCTAGCCAACGTCCCTCCTGTGCCTCCTTCTGTCTTGGCCCGGCTGAATGAGCAGGACCGGGCGGCCAAGCGCGAGGCTCGGGCCCAACGGCGCACGCGCCCGCTGGCTCGAGGAGCCGCGATCACTCGCGACGGCAAGCGAATTGGACACTGCCGGTAGCGCACCCCCGGCCCGCTGGCCAGCGCGTGCACGAGCATCGCGTTACGGCACGGTGTCTTGCACAGCTCGTCCCACGGCCAATGCGTCGTAGAGATTCTCATGTACGGCATTGTGCGCTCTCTGTCGTAGCGGCCGGATTTTGGCGTTGCTCTTACAAGTGGTGTTTCGTCAAATTCGTGTTTCCGCGCCCGATCCCCGCAGCTGCCGCGCTATGTATAGTTTACGCAGTCCTGTGAGCACCCAGGAACCCCCCGTCCCCTGACTAACAAAATAATGTGCATATATGCCAAGGCAGGGGATCGAAGGGGTTTCCACTCTTTGATGTGTGATCCCCTCCTCACTCCGCCGTGATTTGCAGTTCGTGCGTGGTCAAGATGGGCGGGCGCACGGGCTGGGGACGTGCTGCGCAGCTTTTCCCCTGCAAGGCGCGGGCGGAGGCCCCGTTTCTTCCCGAAGTCCCAAGTCCGCGGCAGCGCCACGTTACAGCGGGGGAACGCCTAATCGCGAGGAGCTCGGTGGACGGAGGCTGCCACCGAAGACCGGATGTCCCAGAGCTGGCTGCGCGCCCTCTACGGCGAGGTCGTCGCAGAGGAGATAGCCCTTGAACCGGGCGACATTATCCTGTGCACCGCGTGCGCCTACGAGGAGCAGCCCCAAGGGCACGTGCGGGCCGAAGCTCTCCAGCAAGAGGCTGGAGGCCTCGCGCCCGTACTGCTCGTGGTGGTTGAGCAGACAACTCGGCCGCCCGACCCCCGCAACTGGGCGCCGGCGGTAAACCGTCAACCTTTCTTACCGCCGGGGGACTCGCAGAGCTTCCTGACCATATATTATGTCCAAAGAATTAGCAGGGAACGAATAGTTTTTCAGCCCGAGCGCTGATAGCAGACTGATCTCAGGCGTCTAGTCATATCCCATTGCTGTGCTGAACAGTTCTATAGCTCATCTCCAGCGTGTACCATTAGGGAGAAAGTAGCAGTGTACGAATCCGTGTTTGGCATCTGCGCTCACAACAGACCCAAACCAAGCGTCTAGATGCTTCGCGCCTCATGATGTCCTTCTGATTTTTCGGCCGAAGAGCTCTCGAGCTGCTCTGCAGCTCGAGTTCAGTGAAGAAATTCACAATCACTTGGAACAAATTCTCGGTCGAACACGAATAGTTTTGTGAACCTAGCTCGGGTAGCAGGCCGAGTTCAGACCTCTCTGTACGTGCCAGCTCTGTAGCTCTCCTACAACCCGAATTCAATACAGAACATGGATAATATCTGTCAAGATAGCTCGAAGAATACGAATAGCTTTGCAGACCTAGCCCGAGTAGCAGACGCAACATACGAACAGGCCTGATGATTCTGTGCGCATGAGCTCTGCAGCTCTTCTACAGCCCGAGTTACGTGCGAAAACGAACAGCACCTCTCAAGATTACTCGAACGATACAAATAGTTTCGTGGACTTAGCTCGAGTAGCAGACCGAGTTCAGATCTCTTGATGCAACAGACGAACGCGCTTGATTATTCTGCATCGGTGTCTGTGCGTATCAGCTCTGTAGCTCTCCTAGAGCTCGAGTTAAGTACAGAAAACCGACAGTCCCTGTCGAGATGACCCGAGCGATACGAATAGTTTTGCGGACCTAGCTCGAGTAGCAAACCGATTTCAGACCTCTGC